TTTCAATAAATGAAATTAATTTAACAAAAGATTAAAGGAGAAGCAGAGAGTGTTCGAACCAAGCACCATTATTTCAGGTAATTAATCTTTACTTCGCAACAAGTAAGTTACGTAGGAGTTTAGGTAGATGAAAAAATCTGCGAAAAAATTAGAATGGTCTTACGGAAACGCTGTACTGAAAGAAGTTGAAGCCGCCTGCGTTGTTACTTCGTCCTCCATACCTTCATCCCTAAAAGCGCAACAGAAAAAATAAAAATTCAACGACTACTTCTGATATATGATGATTGATAAATGTTTGCTTAACAGTCAATGGCATTTACGTAATGACGTAACTCAGCAAAATCACAATTTCATTCCGCCTAAAATTGCACAAATTGACTGACAACTCACATATCTGAATGGGAAGCAGATGCCGGGATAGCTGGAACAGCTGCAGCGTCGCTGAGTGTCTGGGAATCTGAAAATAGTTTCAAAGAAATTCACTTACTTCCCAAAATAGAAACTTTCATAAAAATACCTTTAGGTTTTACTGAAACTGAAGGATTCGAACTTGGTAAAGTGAACGTAAAAGAAACAGATTTTTGTGCATCTAGAACTTTTCCTTTTTCACAGCTATCTGAAGCCCGTACTGCGGAATTCGTACTATGAGTTGCAATAACCGTCGTTGGTGATACTGCAGTTAAAGCATTTCCTTTTAAAGAAGATGTAGTCGTAGTGGGAATTACTGAATTAGTCACTGTAGTTGCAGAAGACAGTACTTCGGCATTACTACGCGACTCATCTTTCTGGTACAAAAGATCTTTGACTTCTGTACTATTCGCAAGTGAATTTGCAATATTAACAGCTTCGACTCTGTCAGTCCTGTTACTACCGGATATGTTAGAACTGTTTAGCGATAGTGGAGAAGTAAAGTGTGCGCTAAAAACGCTGTCGTTTATAGGCATCACTGATGTCACGGACAAATCCTAAAAACCCTCTTAACTTCAAAGACAGCGGATTACAGCGAATTACACAAGCCATTAGCAAAACCGTCAAGCAGTTATTCGCTTCAATGCTAGAAGACGACATCACCTAGTCAAGCTAATTAAGAAAAAACTTACTCTTTCTTTGACTAGAGCAGAAATACCAGAAAAATTAGTTTGCTGATCATTCAAGACTTCATGAGCAACTTCTTCTGCCACAGCTGTAAAAAAACACAATTAAGTGATCTGGAACCTCTTGATTCATACCTAATTAAAGCCACGAAATAAGCACAGAAACCCAAACAAGTTCAATCTCACCGTCTTTGGACAAATTCGACGGAGACTGGGTACCGACATCAATCAATCTAGGTAAATACAAATTAAGTTTCATTTTTCTGCACGTATTTTAAACATGAGGCGAATACGTAACAAATAACTACTTTTTTTGAACTCTATTATGAGACGAAGCAATGGCGTCAATAAGACGAGATTCTAATCGACCAATATCCGCCGCCCGTATCTTATCAACAGGACTTGAAGTTTTCGGCAAAATGTTCGCCAATCCTCTTTTCGTTTTAGCGGAAAGACCTCGTTTTGAAAGAAGGCTAAAGATGGAAAGTGTATCATAACTGATGAAAAATTAACAGATCACCAATTGGTGCTCCTTTGCATCAAAAGATCCACACGAAACGTAAAATTAGCGAGCTCAAATTGGCGGCGCATCGTTGGCGTGCCAGATAACCAACTCTCTTTTGTGCGCTGATTTGTGGCAGCTCCAAAATCGTTTCCGTGGCTATTTGGTGATACTGACTCATTTTGGCGGCTATGATGATGGGACTTTTGTCCTGATAAGTTTGATCAAGTCAAAAACGTGCTGAACAATCCAGTCACTAGACTGAGAAGGGAGTGTAACATTCTAAATAGGTTTAGAAGCCCAAAATTCTTCCCAAAAAGAAAAGGTAAAATTAGGCTAAAACACTTCACTGAAAAAAAAAAAAGAAATTCTAAGGAACATGCAACATTTGAGAGTTGCGTTGAGTGGTAAGATATGGAAACAAGAATAGGTACTCCTATAACCTAAAATACTAGGTACTAACTGGTATCAGTTACAGTGATAAAGAGTCCAGGCAGACGAGCGATATCATAAACCAAGAACAGTAATAATGGGGCCAAATGAAAAAGAAAAAAGTAGGGAAGCGGACTTCTCACAGAAGAGCTGCGGAAGAACGAAGAAAATGTGATGTAGCCGCAGTACGTAATATGTGGAAATCATTGTAAAGGTTCAAACTCGCCCTTTTACGCTTTTGAACATGTCACAAAGACAAATCTCTCTATAATGGTGAGTCAACCATAAATCAGATGCCATTCATAATTAGCTACACCAGTCAAAGAAATCAAGCTAAATTCCAGTTCAATATTGCCACTTCTCTGAATTATAAAAACTGCTATTTCTTACAGCAAACCGATGGATAATGATCAAGCATTATCTGCATCAGATACTTAATTGAGACGGCTAACGATACCCCCTGCAAAAAAAATGAAGCTGCGTGTTAGTTCAGCATTGTGGTCTCTCTGAAGCATACATGAAAGTGACGTGTGCTGACTGCTGGGAAGCGAATGAAAGCGGAACGGCTGGATGATCTGGATAAGAAAATGAATTGCAGTATTATCCAAGCAGAGTGTCTATAATACACAGCGGTCTGATGATAAAGAGAATTGTAAACAGGAGACCAGCTGCGCCAAATGGCCACATTATCTCCGGTCGTTCGTTAAATGAGGCACAGAAAAACGTATCCGTCTCTGCCAATTCAGTGGTCATGCTTACTTCAACGTATTAATTCTGACTAAATTCAGGAGAGAAAGCCGATTTTACAGAGGAATAGATCGGGAACTTAGGGAAGGAACTGATACTACAGATTAATTAATTGACTGATTCAAATTATCAGTTCATCAGAAACACAACGCTGGGAAGAAAAAGTAAACTACTCAGAATTAATCTACGAAGAGAAAGGAGAAACGCCAAGAAATGCGGTTAAAGATAGGCTTCAAAAACTGTGAATGCAAACTGGATAGCTGTATTCTAAGAGATAAGTAATAAGCAGAAGCCACAACTCTTTTTAAACGCTGCAACCGTCTCAGAAAAGCAGCTTGTAAAGGAATCTTGAATTACTTCAACATTTGATTCATTACTTATTGTTTTTTCTTGCTCATTAACATGCACAATTTATAAGTCACTTCCGAAGATAATTATTTCTGCAGCTCTTCGTTTATGGAAACTAAATCCTGATGATATAGACCTAAAAACCATTCTCAGAACTCCAAGTCGACAAAAACCGAAAAATTTTACTTTCAACATTTTCCACCACTTTTCCCCCACAACTTTGAAAACATTCTGCGGTATACTAAACTTAAATTTAAGAACCAACACAAAAGTGGGATGTGTTCGCCAGCCCACTAACAATGCGTGTCCAATCGTAGAGCTCGCTTACTGTGCATTTGAATTTCTTATTCTGAAGAAGTGCCCAAACGATTACAGTCCCAAAGCTCCTACATGCAAATAAAGAAACTCTGTAAAAACAACTGCATTCGTTGCTTCCTTCAAGAGGAACTAGTGGTTGGAATTTTCTGAAGAACTAGCAACGTTTTGCACACGAAAAATTGACAAGAAAAATTCTCAAAACTAATCGGATAAACGACCTGGAGGTGTAAATGAGAAACAGAATGGGAATAATGAGCAAATAGAGCTATATACAATACAACAAGTTCTTCCTTCCTTATATATACGAACAAAACAGGATTCACTCAAATCCTCAGTTCAAAAACTGCAGCAGAATTTTACTCATCTTAAAGTATCCCCCTCTCCCCTTCCTCCCCCCCCCGGAAAAAACCCTCCTCAACATAAAAAATAAACAAGAAACAATGTTAACCTACTTTAAAATAGTTGAACGCCTAGTCAGAAAACTTTTTTGAGAGCTGAACAACACAGGACTTTCAAGTGTAATCCTCTGCAAGCCACCAAACGTGAAATCACCGTTAGGTTCGTTGGATAAAGCCATCTTTGCAGTAACTCGCTCTTTGGTATTTTCCCTGTTAAAGAAGAGAACAAAGGTATGTTGTTCAAAATAATAACACTACAAAAGAATCATACCGACCAGAAAAAGCTCAAGCTGAACTTAGATAATTACTTCATTGAATCTTCCAATTCAACGAATTTTTGATACAAATCGGAAAGTTGTTTACGCTTCGAGCTAACTGCTTTGTAAATTGACCTCACAACAATGCACAATTTCCGTTCGTCCTCAACACTCATACATGAGTCATCCGCACTAAAGTTATTTCAAAAAACTGAACAACATTTAAAGCTCTAAACAATGTTACAGGAAAGTTCCAAAAAAAGAAATTTGATTATCATGATTTAATTGTCGGTAAATAGAACTAGAGTTGCAGTGTTTTTACCAAACAATGACCGGTATTTCGAAACAGTAAAAAAATTTATGGCGTGGTATTCAAAAACAACCCTGGAAAACAACTGAAAGAAACATCCCGGGAGAGCTCATCCAATTCGTGCTCTGCTACTTCAAACTTATTTTCTAAGACATGAAATGCTTCCCTCAACTTGTTTAATCGGTAACCCTGAAAAACCGCTCTTTTTTAACTCGATGAAGCACTCGATATCATTTTCAAACAGTGAGGCAGTTAAAAAAAATAAAAAAAAATCAAAGCCAATGAAATCATACATTATTGAAATCCAATACTCGTCCTAAAAATGAACCAAAATTTTCTTTCCCTGCCAATTCAACGGTTTTCTTTTGCTCGTCAAATGACACTTTTAGTTCATACACTTCACTTTTGACTTTTTTCAACCATATTTCCGTCTCTAAACTCAACTTCCGGATTTCGTCCAATTCTTCTTCATTCAATTCACAACCTGGAAAATGGTATTCTACAAATAAACTCTGAAAACCAATAAGAAAGAAGTAGTGACAAATAAGAAAAATATGGAAAAAAAATTGAATTTGAATTTATCCAACAGAGACTTACAGCTTTCCGGATTCAAGATAAAATTCTTTTTTAGTGAATTTTTTAGATCTTCCATCCATCCACTCGTTTCCCGAACGTCAACAGTTTTTTTACTTAACAACTTCAACTTCTTTTCTAGAAGTCGTCGCAAATTAACTAATCCTTCCCTGTCATCGTGTTGCAATTCCTGGATGCCTGAATCCTAAAGGCGAAGCACTAGAGTTCACGACAAGTCAGAAAAGTACTTCAATCAAATTTCAAGAAATTCCCTTAACATCCTTCAGTAACATTACAGCCATATCTTCGGAACCCTTTGTTAAAACATGTTTCGAGTTTTCTATTAGACAGTGACTACTTGAACCAACACCGTTCGCTTTTTGGAATCCAGTTTTGCCAAGCAGACAGCTGCCAAAAGATGATACAACAGATTCACTAGCATCAGAAATAGGTGACGATGCCTTCGTCGTGCTCATGTCTTCAAAATCACACGGGCTTAAACTTAGAACTTGCAGGCTTTTACCAGAAGAAAAAGTATTATATTTGGAAAATAAAACCTGAAAAGATGCCCTACCACCTCTCAAATCCAAGGAGGTAACTAGAGGTTGGAGCGCAGCTTCTTTATCATCTGACGCAACAATATAAGATAAATTACCAAAATTCAAATCAGAAGGTGGTGGAAGCAAACCTCTAAAAGTAAAGCGATTGGCTGAAAAACCCAAATTTTTTAAAGCAATTTACTCATGTTTTTCTATTATTATACGTGTGAAGACTTCAACCTCCAAATAATGAGACAAAGTACACAAACAGAAGTAATAATTGACTGTAAAATCACAAAAAATAATTGAGCTCCTCTTCATAAACAAGAGCAAATTGTCACTCTCTTATGCTCAACCAGATAAAAAAAAAAAAATCTACCTGTTCAGTATAGGATGTACAGGACAAAACGAAAGAGCACAATATGATAGAAGTAAACCGCTGCAAGTCATGATCAAAATACTAGGACAAAGGGACCCGTTGAAAGTCGAGTCGTCGTCTAGAAACGAAAAAAAAAAAACATAAAATTTTTATGTTTATGATAGAAAATTTAGTGACTTCAAAGAAGGTTATAAATTTACTATCTGCAAGTCAATCTCAAACGTGAAGCACAGAAGAAATCTAACAATTTAACTTATCAAAGAATGTTTACAAGTTCTTGATACTCACCCATTCGAACTAGAGTTTCCGAGGAAGTTTCAACACAAATGCCACAGGGGAAGTTCTCATCCTGTGTACTTTTGAGTGGTAACTCTATCCGTGAATTGTCATTCAAGGACCAAACCTTCCAAACACCCTCACGCTTGCCCAAAACATTCACCTAAAAGACCTTTGAGTCGTAGTCTGACAATTCAGAAAACTAACAAATTCTAAAAACATGGTAATTTTCAATAATTTCAAAATGATTTTTACTACAAAAAGGAAAAATAATTAAATAAAGGAGTGATAAATTGAATAATTAAGCTGAACAAGCATCTTTAAAACCAGCACTATATTAACTAATATTGACAAAAAATGAAAGATTAGGTAACCAACCTCTGATGACCGCAATGAACCACAAAGCACCAAATTCCACTGAAGTAAGAAAACAAAAAACGCACGTTGAGGCGATGCACACTGCTCACTACAATAAATTATGTCGTCAAAGTGAGTCCAACAAGGAGGGCCTTCTTTTCTCGTGCGAAGAAGAGAAACAGTGAGACTCTCTCCGCTCAATGGAGCATACGCGATCAGAAACTCTGTACTTGACAGCCAACAAATCCCAACACACCGTTCGAGCACGTCTAAATTCGGTTAAATAAAATATCAATTTAAAAAGCTAAAATAGTAATACGACTCATGATCAACTAACTGCCTTTCGCATCAATACTGGATGGTGGACCAATAGACCGCACTAGTAACATCTCTGGTTTGAACTGATGTATACTTCCATGGGCATCTCCTACAACAAGCTGTTTCCCTTTCGGACTCCAACTGAGACAAGTGCCTGGGACTTTCAATCGTGATGTCCCGAGAATATCAAACTTTTTCGGTTTCTAAAAGAAACTAGTTGAGGCAGAAGATCTTAAACAACATAGTAGTATCAAGACGGTGACTGCAAAAAATATGTTCCTCTATATATATATTTAACGAAAGAATTCACAAGGGGTGCATTTCCACACCCACTTTAAATGACCCTATGTACAACTAAAAAAAAGACTGTTACAATGAATTCAACAGCATAAGTGGATGACGTCCCATCAGAATTAACCACAGCAAAAACGGATTCGTTTGATGGATTCCACTGCAGCTCATTCCCTCTCGCTGAATCAGTCGCAGATAAGCGAATAGATTGAAATGGTCCAACCTAAAACATTACCCCAAAAAAGTTCACTAATCATCTTACTTTTTTTGAGCTTAAATTTGGTGTGCGGAAAATGTACAACATTAATAAAATATCAGTTCCAACTATAACAAGTACACAAATGATACTTTGGAGAGTAATATTATCATGAAACACTCTCGCTGTTGTTCCTTATTAATATTGATGACTTTAAATTACAAAATATAAGCTTATTCTCATTAATAATTAAGAGCAACGAAACGGATTATAAAATTTCAACTCGCAAAAAAAATTTTTAAATCATAATACCTCTTCATTCTGGTCCGGCGAAAGAGCGCAAAAGTCGTAGAGATAAACGAATGGACCGCAAGCAGAATTTAACAACACCGACAAAGTTCGCCCGCTGCAATTTGTTCCCAAGGATACCACCTCACTTCTCTGCAAAGATAAGCGAGTCTCAGAAAACCAACTTTAGCCGAAGAAAAAAAACTTACCAACCATGGTTCTGATCAAAAGGATCCAATTATTAAGAAGTGTATACAACTGTATGAAAAATAATTAGAAACAATTACGGAACTACTACCAAAACTCAAACTTTCTTCCCGTCGTTTACAATTGCACAACCACTTTTTAAGCAAACAATTGTGAAAAATAGCTTTCCTCCTTCAAGGTGTAGAGTAACGTGTCAGTCGCTTCAAGAAACAAATACGAAAAAAAAGTATAAAGTATTAAGATGGACAAAAGAGGAAGAAACAAACGACCTCCTTCAACAGTAATCTGGTTACTTTAAATTCGACAAGATTTGATTCTGCATTTGCATTTCTGCCGAATGGCTGTAACTGATGAATAGCGGCTGTTTTGAATGAAACGAGTTTTTTTTCATTAGTGTAAACGGCTGTAATACCATACTGACTGGATGAAGTTACAAAGTTATATGACGATTCTGCAACATCTGGAGAGAGTTTGGGAAATTCAGAACATATTCTGATCTTCTTCAAATTGCAAAACTGGAAATCCTAAAAGAAAGGACTTATTGAAATGTTCGAGTTACGTCTGGAGGGAAATGGAGAGCATAAAAACTGTGGTTGAAGTTGGGCACTTTTCCAAATTAAAACGGAAGAAAACACTTCTTAAATTTTCTACCACGAGTAAAAGCGTACCAAACCAAGGCTGAAATGTACCACTTAAAGACAAAACTGAAACTGGTATTCTTTCTGAAAACTCTGCTTACGTAAGGGAAAAAGAAAAAAAACTTAACGCTGCCGATAATACATAAATATCAAAATATCAAAAAAAAGAAAAAAAAAAAAAAAAAAAAAAAAAAAATT